TAGATTTAAATTAAGTGGAGTAGGTGAGTGGTTTTAACTTTAGACATTAATCCACTCCCTCTGTAAATTAAAACTCCTTCTTCAGCAACAGTTAACATGACTCAATGAGAAAACAGATTGAGAAGACAGTCTCCAGAAATAAGAAGCAGTCTTCTGGGAGGGAGGTGGAAAGTGCAGCACATTGTCTTGTAATAAAGAGAGTAGAAATACTGACTGCAGAACACAAATGAAGAAATAAGTATTGTGTTATATTATTGAACTGATCATGCGCTCAGTGTGTCACAATAACCTGACAGACTACGTCATTGGAAGATCACCTGCATTGTAGACCTTGATGAAGAACATAGAATAGAATAGAATAGAATAGAATAGAATAGAATAGAATGCTTTCATTGCATTACACAATCTACAACAAAATGAAGCAACACTCATGTTAGTGCATTCAGACAGACAGACATATTTAAAAGTACAATAAGTAATGCAAAAATGTATAATATAACATCTACTAGGAAAAAATGTGCAAATGAAAACAGTAGGATAGTTATTTTATCATTATTTATTTTTTTAATTGCTTATTTAGACCATAAGAAATTGTGAAAACAGTGACTGATGTTGCATTTCTGGATGTTGCACATTGCTGAACATGTATAAAACAGTATGGCTTGAGCTGTGAACAATTACATACAAGGTGCAGCTGTGTGTGAAAACATGTAAACTGTAGTTTCAGTAAATAAATACAAGTTGCATGAGGTAGTAGTTAGGTTGAGTGTTTGGCAGAGTTCAGCTCCCTTACAGCTTTGGGCTAGAAAATGTTTATCAGTCTGTTTGTCTGTGATTTGATGGACCTGAAGCATCTACCTGTGGGCTGTGGATTAAAGTGACGGTGTCCAGGATGGGATTGGTTCAAGAGAATGTTTGCTGAAGCAGCAAGAGCTGAGTAAGTCCTCCAAAGAAGGCAATGAACAGCTGACAATCATCTGGGCGGGTGATGATCATCTGGAGGGCTCTCCTGTCTGCTGCTGAGCAGCTGGTGAACTATACAGTGACACAACACGCCAGCACGCCCTCGACAGAGCAGCGGAAAAAGGATGCATAGTAGCTTTTCCTGCAGATTATTTTTTCAGAAGACATCAGTACACCATGTATTATTTCTCCCAACTTTCCCAACACAATACCTCTATGTGACTAACTCTTTGCTAACAAGGTTATAATTAATTAAAACTGATGTTAGACATATACATATACATGTGATTGCTTGTAGTGCCACTTTTTCATAAAACTGTAAGTTGGAAAACCGTGACTTTTCTTTTAGCCCAGTAACAATATTATATGACTCTTCCAGTTAGGACCACTTTTGGAGTGGTTTCACATATCATTCCAGCAAAATGCATTTTCAAATATTGGACATGAATATGAAAAACATAATTTTAATTATTTTTACTCTACATTTTTAAAGGTCTTATTGTTGCCTATCACAGGACAAAATATTAGCCTCTAAAAATCTTTATTGGAAAATAAAGGTTTAGGTTTGGTAGAATATCAGAATAGAAAAAACATGGGCATCATATAACTGGTTTGTGTTGTTCTTTTAAAGCAAAACCATTAAAGACTATATGTACATATCAGTGTGTCTAGAAAATTTCAGGACTCCAGCTACATTATTTCGTCTTCAAACATTGTTCTGTAGGTTGATGCAAAAATCAACAGGATTCTACCTTCTTCAGGAATTCTTTACCCAAAAACTCATGTTACCTGTGACCCCCGATTTAACTTAATAAAATACATATGCACAGAAAAAATAATTAAAAATCTGACAAATGTGAGATGGTAAGGCATGACCTTTCTGTAAGATTTGATGAATTGAGATGGAATGACCCATCACTGTGTATACCCAGGAGCCTGAAGGCATTGACTCTTTCCACAGTCTGTGTTGATGGCTAGCAGATCAGCCTCGGCTCTGTTTCTTCGAATTTCACCACTTGTATTTGTTTTACAAGCTTGCAGATGACTGTCATTGTGTTGCTCAGTGACAATGTCACTGACCATGCGCCAGTGGTCAGTGATTTCACAGATCAGTGTAAACAATCTTATCTCAGCATAAATGTGTCAAAACAAGAGAAATGCTCATTCATCTTAGAAGGAACTCTCTACCTGTTTCTCATGTTTTATTCATGGTCAGAGTGTTGAAGTTGTTTGGCAGTATAACATAATTTTAATGATTTTTACTTTACATTTTAACCCACAACAGGATCTGTAGTTCAATCTTGGGAACTAGATTGGACAACAAACTAACCTTTGATTTAAGCACTGGGGTTGTTTGTAGAAAGGCTCATCAGCACTTGTATTTTTTCGCGTAGTTAGAAGGTTCAATGTTGACATCTCTTCAGTCTGATATCACTCATCGGTATATAAACAACATGCCAGTTTCTTAAGTCATTTCACATGATGTCACTATACATTTTTTGCTTCTCATATGTCATTTGACGCCTTATGATCTCTATGCATTTATACTGTGCAAAGATGGCGTGTCATTGTATGCTGAAACTCCATATCAAGAAAAAAAAAAACACGAAACATCTGTCCAGTTGTCTCCAACAAATTGCAAAGAAATACAAAGTTGCAAAGCGCAGTTATACTGAAAACGGAAGCAAACTGCTGCTGCTTTTCTAAATTTGAAACAGGTAAGTTGCAGTTTACATCCCTTCACTCACCTCTTCTTCTGGAGGTTTAAAAAACTGAAATTAAAAATTATTGGCGGAGGGCTGCAGAGTACTTCAGAGGGCAGTCAAATTAATTGTCTCTTCATTTGGTATATGAATGACACATTAACTTTGTAACTAGCTAATATCTTTTTAAGATTGCTATGCTGACTTGCTAGTTACTTTTGTGGTAAGCTTGGTCTTTGCTTTCATTTTTGTGCATGCTGAATAGAAGGTGGTGCAGATAGTATTATAAAAAATATGCCTACACCATAAATGTAAATAATTGGACAGTTTACAGTTGGTACCTACTTGTAGCCCGTCATTCACCATTTAAAAAACAAACTACAATGTCATGACCTAATCAGTCTGAAGAGACATTTGCAAACCTAAAGTTGACACTGTCTCTTCTTTCCTTTGCAGCATATTCTCCCAGTCACCTCCCCAAAAGCTTCAGGGTTGATCAGCTTTATAAGCAAAACCAAAAGCTCTTTTAAGAGCCATCTTTCTCTGTTCTATCCTATTCTGTTCTTTGTCCTAGTGTTGTCACTTGACTTATCCTATTCTATTTACATCACACACACACACACACACACACTCTTTCTCTCTCTCTCTATCTCTCTCTCACCATCTCTTGGCTACGTAAATAAGAATATCTTGGAAGCTATCCTGCTCCTGGGTGACAGCTTTATTGAATGCACCACAGCTCCTCCTGCTCGGCCTCATTGGTGCCGGTGCAAGAGAGACGGAGATGGCAGACCCCTGGACAGTGGCCATGAAGTCGGTTGGTTCCAATAACTTGAACTGGAGAGTTCATTGGCTTTTTAGTGCATTCTTGTGTTTCAAATGACTGTCTCTACTGCTTACTAACATTTACCTTGCAATCATGTTATATTTGTAGAGGAAGATTTGACTGGGCAGTGGGACAACACAAGTAGCTCAGCTGCAGGTCTGTCAACATTCAGTGTTCCACTCTTCGTAAATAAGTATTTAGTACACTTAATAAAAATGTAATTGCTTATGGGTTAAGGGTCTGTAAAACACTGAGTTGAAGTCAGACCTTTGTCTAAAAGTTTAATTCTTGCCTGATCTAGCCATTTCTTTTCAACTTTTAATTTGCGTTTGGGGTCATTGTCTTGTTGGAACACCCAACTGTGTCCAAGAGCCAACTTTTTGGCTGATGATTTCAGGTTTTCCTGAGGAATGTGGAGGTAATCCTCCTTCTTCATTACTCCATTTATTTTGTGTAAAGCACCCAGAACATAATACTATCCCCATCGTGCTTGATGGAAGGTATGGTATTATCGCGGACTAAGTAGCAGAACATTCCAAAGCAACAGAAAGAGAATCTAGAGACCCTTTCCCACTGCTGTAAATTTGGGAAGAAACTATTTCAGAAGACACCTAACCCAAAACTCACACCTAAATGGAACATCTGCAGATCGCATGTTTACTACAAAATGAGCACTCACAGCCCTCTTGGAGACAACAGTATGTGCAAAAAAGGTTGGGGACTGCTGGTTTAATCTATAAAGTGTTATGAGGCTACATCTGTTATTCCAGGATTTGTAGTTATGAGCGGCTACTGAGAACGTAGACACTGGTCCTAACTACCTTTAAAAATCTACAGTACCCACATTTAGAGCTTAAACATACTGAAATAAGGAAATCAGGAACTCATGACCTCAATATCCCTAAAATCCTGGCTGCAGTCCCACTAAGTACATATAAGCATGTCAGTACTGTATTCAGACAGATTTGTCTTTTTTTATCAGAATATATCTTTTAATTGCAGTTGAAGTTGTTACAACTGAATTGATAGTCAGCTTTGGCATACCATCTATTAAGCATTATCTGTACACCACTTAATTGTCACTAGGGTCGCGGGGGGACTGGAGTCTATCCCAGCTGACTGAAGGCAGGGGACACCCTGGACAGGTAACCAGTCTATCACAGGGCTACACTTAGAGACAAACAACCAAGCACACTCACATTCACACCTACGGACAATTTAGAATCACCAATTAACCTCAACATGTTTTTGGACTGTGGAAGGAAGCTGAAGAACTCACGCTACATACAACATGCAAACTCCACACAGACAGATCCCAGGCATCCTAACCGGGCCCCCCATTTGGGATCTTCTAGCGGCGAGGCGATGGTGCTAACCACTGAGCCCCCTTGCAGCCCTATGGCATACCAATGCCTACCTATAAGAATTAGTATAAAGTTCAGTTTATAAAGGTAGATCAAATTGTACATTAGAGCATTTTTCACCATTCGTTTCACAAAACTACTACCTTTTTTTAATTAATCAATTTTTTTATTAAACAACTAAGTCACTACTAATTTACAACTATTTGCAATATGACATTGGTAATCAGCAGAAACACACTGAGATTCATTTAACAGCTTCAGTATCTTCATTAGAAAACTATATCAGAATATTTTACACTATCTGTCATTGAGACACTGCACAGCAACCCCAACACACTTTAAAGATGCCAGGCCAGACCAATCATTATAACCCCGTAGAAAAATGATAAGAACATGGGGGAACATTTTAAACTCAGTCTCATTTGAATATTAAATGATATAACAGGAGTATTGTAGTGATGCCACAGGTTATATAAACAGGAAAGTGAAGCAGGTATAATAATAAGAAAAAATAAATGCTTTAGTATCATAGACACAAGCTGAAATTATTCTCCTATCTAAGTGCACATAAGCAAGTGTGCAAGCAGGTCACTTGTTTTCTTTATATTTGTATGCAGCGTGTTTGTTTTCATCCCATTTCTGGTCCTGAAGGAAGTTTCATCATTCAGTCAGTTGAAATTTGGGAGGTTCAGGTTCTTCTGTAAGCCTCAATTACCCATAACCTCTTCCCCCGTGTAGGTCTGTGGATATGTATTGTCAGAGAAACACTTTCCAAGCAATACTCTAAGCCACTACAGAAACATTGTATTGATGCCATAGTCAGTACTGAATGCATGTTAGGCACTTTAAAGGTACTGTTTGGCTGTTTTGAGGCTATAAATAGCCACCATTCACAGGTTAATGGGTTTATCAGAGATGACTGCATGTGCATTTAAAATTCTGAGCTCTGAGTGATGTTGTTGTTCTCCCTGTAAGCAAAGCAGCGGGGGAAGATGCCGATATTTCCTGCACAGTGTCCTTCCAGCCACTCTTCATTAACTAAAAGAGAATGTGAGAAAGAAACACAAAGAGCATGTCTCGCGTCTGAACAGAAAATGAAGTAAACTTTAAATGACAAAAGACTTGTGTTAAACCTGACAAGCAGTTTAAATGTGAGGTTGACCTGTGACTAACCTTCACCCAAGATGTCAATGGTGTCTCCTTCGCTAAAGTCCAGATCCTCTGGCCCTTGAGAACTGTAGTCATACAGCGCCACCATCTGGTAGAGTATGGTACGGTTGGCTAGCGGGTCCTCTTTCTAAAGTACAATGGCACAATGGGAAAATCACTAAAACTGTAAACTGGATAATTAAGTGACTTTGTGCACGACAAAAAGAGAACAAAACAACACAGAGAACTTCTATGGACTTAGGAGCAAGGAGACCGAAAATAAAAAATCTATGTAAAGTTGGTGCAGCAAATTATATTATAACATATAATATTTAAGCACCATTTTATAACATGTACTGTTTAAACCTTGTTGGGCTGCTATGCATAAATTATTAGGATCAATTTCTCATTCATATTCATGGAAAACAACAACAAATTGTGAATGAAACAAAGAGCAGGATCAACAGCTCTGTTTGTGCTCTGTCCCATATTTCAAAGAATAAAAACTAATTTCAGGCCAGCACTGTCGCTTTACAGCTAGAAGGTTGTGGGTTTTAATGTCGGCTTGGGCTTTTCTGTGTGAGATGTGCATGTTCTCCCTGTGCCTGTGTGGGTTTTAAACAGCTTCCTCCCACAGTCCAAAGACATGCTTAGGGTAATTGGTGACTCTAAATTGGCTGTAGGTGTAACTGTATGCATGCATGGTTCAATTCACTTCAGTTACTTTTTTTATACAGCAACAATTTACAACATGTGTCATCTCATAGTAAGGTGAAAACTTTTCAAATTTTGAACACAGAACAGAGAACCCAATAATCCAAAGTTGTCTTTGGACTCCCTATGAGCAAGCAGTCATTGACGGTGGGAAGGAACCAAAAAAAAAAACTTTTACAGGGAGGAGAAAAAAAAGCCTCAGACAGACCCCGGCTCAGGGAAGGCGGCCATCTGCCTCAACTGATTGGGTGAGAGTGGAGCTGAGGAGGGTGGGGGATAGCAGGAGGGACTGGGGTGTCTGTCTGTCTGTCTGTGTTGGCCATGTGATGCACTGTTGCAGCACTGTAGAGATAACAGTAGAAAATACTATCCCAAGGTGCACTTAACATCAGATGTGTCACTGTTGCATTTAGCAATTGAACCTATTTAGTGTTTTATGCAGTTGTTCAGTAGGCATGTGTCATTTCACCCATTAGCAAAACAATCTGATGATGTGTGATGCTGGAATTGAGTTTTATTACAAGTTAACTTTATATTACATAGAAGTGAAATATAACAAGTATTGTATTAATAAATAGCTAAAAGAAATTAAGAAACAGTTGAACTAGCTAACTTCTAAAGTGTTAGCATAGGTAGATACATTAATTGTAATCTTAAAGTAAAAGATAAAAGGTTGTAATAGCTGCAACGTAGCCAAGCTATATGTGATGGATATATAGCTAAAACAGACAGGTTCTGTTTGGAAATCTTTCCTTTAATTAACTTCTCTATATTAACAGGCTACGTACCGCAAGCTTTTAAAGTAGCTATAATAAAACCACTACTCAAAAAGCCCATTCTAGATCCAGGTGTTTCATCAAACTATAGACCCATATCCAGCCTCCCCTTTAATTTCTAAAATTCTTGAAAAAGATGTTGCAATCCAATTATACGATTATCTGCATAGAAATGGTTTGTCTGAAGAATTTCAGTCAGGATTTAGAATGAATCATAGTACAGAGACAGCACTGGTGAAGGTCATTAATGATCTTCTTATAGCTTCAGACAGTGGACTAGTTTCTATACTTGATCTGCTGGATCTCAGTGCTGCATTTGATACAGTGGATCACAGCATCTTATTACAGAGACTGTAACATGTTATTGGACTTGAACTGGATGTAAACTTATGGAACTACATTAAGCTGATTTAAATCATATTCATCAGACAGTTTCCATTTTATTCATGTTAATGAAGATTCTTCCACCCACAACAGAGTTAGTTATGGAGTTCCACAGGGTTCTGTGCTAGGACCTATATTATTTACTTTGTACGTGCTCCCCTTAGGCAATATTATTTCCATTGTAATGCAGACGACACCCAGCTACATTTATCTATAAAGCCAAATGAAATCAATCAGTTGGTCAAACTCCAGGCATGTCTGAAGAACATAAAGACCTGGATGACCTGGAATTTTCTAAAGGCCTGAATGTTTTGCAGTTTTCTTCATTTAAATTCAGACAAAACTGAGGTTATTGTATTTGGCCTTAAACACCTCAGAAACAAACTATCTAACCAGACAGCTACTCTGGATGGCATTGCCCGAGCCTTCAGTTTTGACCAGGACATGTCGTTCAACACATATATAAAATAAGTCTGTAGGACAGCCTTCTTTCATCTACATAATATCGTAAAAATCAGGAGCATCCTGTCTCAGAGTGATGCTGAGAAACTAGTCCATGCATTTAGAACTTCGAGACTGGACTATTGTAATTCCTTATCATCAGGATGTCCCAATAATGCTCTTAAAAACCTCCAGCTGATCCAAAATGCTGCAGCCAAAGTTCTGACAGGAACCAGTAACAGAGATCATATTTCTCCTGTATTAGCTTCTCTTCACTGGCTCCCTGTAAAATCCAGGATAGAATTTCAAATCCTGGTTCATATAAAACTCTCAATGACCAGCTCCATTTTTCCTTAAAAACCTTATTGTACCTTATCATCCTAACAGAGCCCTTCACTCTCAGACTGCAGGTCTACTTGTGGATCCCAGAGTTTCCAGAAGTACAAGTGCTGGTCATACAATCAGAATATCATGAAAAAGTTTATTTATTTCAGCAATTCCATTCAAAAAGGGAAACTTATATATTATATTCATTCATTAGACACAGACTGATATATTTCAAATGTTTATTTCTCTTAATTTTGATGATTATACCTGAATACTAATGAAAATCCCAAATTTACTATACTAGAAAATTAGAATATTACTTATGACCGATACAAAAAGAATTTCTTGAAATGCTGGCCAACTGAAAAGTATGAACATGAAAAGTATGAGCATGTACAGTATTCAATACTTAGTTGGGGCTCCTTTTGCCTGAATTACTGCAGCAACGCGACGTGGCATGGAGTCGATCAGTCTGTGGCACTGCTCAGACGTTATGAGAGCCCAAGTTGCTCTGATAGTGGCCTTCGGTTCTTCTGCATTGTTGGGTCTGGCGTATCGCATCTTCGTCTTCACAATACCCCATAGATTTTCTATGGGGTTAAGGTCAGGCGAGTTTGCTAGCCAATTAAGAACAGGGATACCATGGTCCTTAAACCAGGTACTGGTAGCTTTGGCACTGTGTGTAGGTGCCAAGTCCTGTTGGAAAATGAAATCTGCATCTCCATAAAGTTGGTCAGCAGCAGGAAGCACGAAGTACTCTTAAACTTCCTGGTAGACCGCTGCGTTGACCTTTAACCTAAGAAAACACAGTGGACTAACACCAGCGGATGACATGGCACCCCAAACCATCACTGACTGTGGAAACTTTACACTCGACCTCAAGCAATGTGGATTCTGTGCCTCTCCTCTCTTCCTCCAGACTCTGGGACCTTGATTTCCAAAGGACATGCAAAATTTACTTTCATCAGAGAACATAACTTTGGACCACTCAGCAGCAGTCCAGTCCTTATGGTCTTTAGCCCATGTGAGACGCTTCTGACGCTGTCTCTTGTTCAAGAGTGGCTTGACACAAGGATGCGACAGCTGAAACCCATTTCTTACATACGCCCGTGCGTGGTGGTTCTGGAAGCACTGACTCCAGCTGCAGTCCACTCTTTGTGAATCTCCCCCACATTTTTGAATGGGTTTCGCTTCACAATCCTCTCCAGGGTGCGGTTATCCCTATTGCTTGTACACTTTTCTCTACCACATCTTTTCCTTCCTTTCGCCTCTCTATTGATGTGCTTGAACACAGAGCTCTGTGAGCACCCAGCCTCTTTAGCAATGATCTTTTGTCTCTTGCCCTCCTTGTCCAAGGTGTCAATGGTTGTCTTTTGGACAACTGTCAGGTCAGCAGTCTTCCCCATGATTGTGTGGCCTACAGAACTAGACTGAGGGACCATTTCAAGGCCTTTGCAGGTGTTTTTAGTTAATTAGCTGATTAGAGTGTGGCACCAGGTGTCGCCAATATTGAACCTTTCCACAATATTCTAATTTTCTGAGATACTGAATTTGGGATTTTCATTAGTATTCAGGTATAATCATCAAAATTAAGAGAAATAAACATTTGAAATACATCAGTCTGTGTGTAATGAATGAATATAATGTACAAGTTTCACTTTTTGAATGGAATTACTGAAATAAATACACTTTTTCATGATATTCTAATTATATGACCAGCACCTGTAGAATGGGAGGCAGAGCCTTCAGTTATCAGCTCCTCTGTTGTGGAATCAGCTCCCAGTTTTGGGTTTGGGAGGCAGACACCCTCTCTACTTTTAAGATTAGGCTTTAAATTTTCCTCTTCGATAAAGCTGATAGTTAGGGCTGCTCAGGATCACCTGACCTGTCCCTTAGTTATGCTGCTATAGCTTTAGACTGGTTCCCATCCTATCCCCTCTACTCTCCTTTCTTACATACATATATCACCATTACATATCAATCACTCTGTGTTTCCTCCGAGGTCCTGTGTTTGTTTTCTCTGCAGGTGTCTCTGGATCTGGAGCTTCACGTCTCTGATTTGCAGTGCTGGCCTCACAGACCTCCAAAAGCCTGGTTCTGGCTGAGTTTTTTTTTGTTGTTTTTTTTTACCCTCTCTTAAGGTTCTTTTTTTCAGTTCCTTCCCACCATTGCCAACTGCTTGCTCAGAGGGAGTCCAAAGGCAACTTTGGATTTCTGGGTTCTCCGTTTCAAAATTCATACGGTTTTCACCTCACGATGTTTAGCGCTGTGAGAGGACATGTTATGAATTGCACTATATAGGTAACTGAATTAAATTGAATTGAACATGTGTGGGGGAGCTTCTGCTACCACTGCTGTGGACAGTTCGCCAAAGGGTCACTCAGACTTCAGCCTTGTAGAAGAGAATGGGGTTTGCCAGCTGCAGAGAAGATGTATTGATGCATTGAGTGATGTCGGCGCACAAGTTTGGTGTACAGTGATAGAAGACGAAACTGCATTGCTTGTCTTGTTTGGCGTAATTTTTTTTGTTTGTTTTCTTTTAAACTTCCTGAAGGCAGCTTGGAGAGGAGCATGGTTGTGTGCAAACTGTGCAACAAAGAGTTTTAAGACAAATAGTCTTAAAATGTTGAGTATAATAGTTATAATTGCACTTTGAGTCTGCATTCATCTGTGATTGTTGTAGACAGGTGAAAAATGCACAGAGAAATATAAATTGTTAAAAAAAAAAAAAAAAAAGCATTTTTCTTATTTAAGTTCATGTACATGTCTCTTCACTGATTAAGTAGTCAACCAAAATGTATTTGAATTGAAAAACTTTGCTTATTGTGTCAAATATTGCTATGTGATAAAATAAGGCTCGTCTTCCATCACTGTTTAAACTGTCCTGTGCGCTGACGTCACTCAGTGCAGCTTGTGCATCTTCCTCATGGCCGCAAACGAACTTTAGGTGCATTATCGCCACGTACTGGCTGGAGTGTGTGCATCAGTGTTACTGGTGTGTTAGAAATTAGGGAACTGAGAAAGGTGCGATTAAATGCATTATTTTTGTAAGCATTTCTTTTCTATAATTAATTAATCAACATTAATGTTTTAAAGTCCAAGCCCTATTTATATATTTACAGAAGTAGGAATTAAATCAAGATCGAACCACCAGCCTTGCAATTATAGGACATCTGCTCTACCACCTGAGCTTTAGCCGCCCAGAGTATTCAAAACTGTATTCTGAAGTAACTGGCCACTGAAGCAGTCAGAAAAATGTAGTGAAGTACAAAGCACAATATTTGCTTCTGAGATGTAATGCGTTACAAGTATAAAGTTGCATAAAATGGAAAAAGTACCAGTACTTCAGATTTGTGCTTACAGTACACGACTCCAAGTAATTCATGTCCACCACTGATTTAAAGCCCTTTTTAAATTAAGTATATTAGTTGTTTTTTTTCAGTACACTTTCATTTCTCCAGTGAACAGTACCAAATGCATGACATAAATGACTGCTGCTGTCTGATATTGAGATAGGGACCTTTCACTTTGATTCACTACCTGCCAAGCAGGAATGTGTTTATATTTGGAGAAGGTGGGCCATATGAGAGCACAGACTCAGCGGACAAAGGCCTGTGATTCAGATAATATTGCCTCAACTTCAATTATGATCTTTTCTCACTGGGACACATAGCCTTGCATATCTGGCTTTTACTTGATAAATGCTCCACTATGTTCACCAGCAACTTTTTAACTGTATCAGCCTAATGGCAGGTGGTGTACAGTGGTTTGTTTTTGGTTTTTGGTTTTTTTCTGGAGCAAGACCCTTCATGCCTGATCCACAGTCACTATCAAAAGACTAGATTGTTGCAGCTTTAATAATGATGCAGTTCTGATGTTTTGTAAGTTTAAGTCCTTACCTGGCACCACAGGGTGGCTCTGCCGGCCTCAGCCACCTCTTGCACAGTACCACCCACTTCCCCACGCAGGGGTGTCAGCACACGGGAGCCATGCTGCTTATGTCTGATGAAACCAATAGAAGGAGCAGTGAAGAGAGGGCATAAATATCAGATAAACTTTAGCATTTAAACACTGTTCCTCTGATGTCAGTTATTTGTTATCAGCCTTCATTTTTTTTTCAACTGCTAGACAAATGAGCTGGTTCTGCTGCTATAAATCATTACATGTCATATAATGCTTCAGTAATATGCTTTTATCCCATGATGATGCAGCATCAACTCTGTTATGTCAGCCCTAGTGTCCTGGGTCCATGTTAAGTTTTCTTAACCAGAACAGATTTCGAATGCAGAGTGGGTAAAGAAAATCTTTTTTTTTTTTTTTCTTTTTCTTAGAAATGAAGCATCACTTGTAAAAACGTACGGAGACATAAGTGGGTTGGTAGGCATGCCGTTACCTGAGGCGCAGCTGAGATGCTGGTTGGCCCAATTTCTGTGCGATTTGTTCCTTCAGTTCAGTGTATGGTGTGTTCAGAGGGACAGACAAAGCCACAGTGTATGTGTAGTGGACCTTTACCACCACAGATTCCATCTGTGATCCCTGAGGTGAGCTGGCATGCTGGGAGCAACGAAAAGAAGCACATTTAAAGATAGAAAAAAATAATGCTGCCTCTTAAATTCTGATTCTTCAGAGGTCCGTGTTGGATGTATTTTTGTTTCTTTTTTTTTTTTTTTTTTTTACAAATTTTTCTAACATTCTATTGGGCAATTTTTTTTATTTATTAATTTTTTTAAAATTTTAAAACGTTTTTTTAGTCAGTCTGCTATCAGTCTGCTTTTAGAGTTATTCTGAATGACATCCTGGAAGTAAACTAAAACTTGTTCTTCTTTTGCAAGAAAATTGTAAGATATATAACAGAAATGTTTTAAAAAATAATTTAATAAAATACAAGAATATATTATTTATTGTAGGAATATTATCACACATATATTCTTACACACAGACCCATAAACCCTAATGTAATAATCAGGAATCAATATTAAGGAAATAACCATTAATTATTGACTGGATTTGGGACTCCAGTTGACATTTTAAGTAGTGTAAATGCTTCCTGTTTAAAATAATCTGACTTGTCTGTTATGTGGAATCTCCTGATGTCATTGGTCAGTGTTTCCGTAGCTGTTCTTTAAGACATATATAAAACGGTACCATATTTGAATAAAATGTACCATTCCAAAGGAAAAATACCTGTTTTAATGCAAAGTCAGTAACCTGCAGAATCACACACCATAGCTCACCATAGAAACACTTTCCTCCAATGTCCAAACTAGCTGATTCAGCCACTTGACCTTTTCACACTACAATTATGAACTAAATTCATCTATAGTTCAGTGAGAATAGGACAAACTATGAAACCATTTAAAAAAATAAAATCTATCTTCATGCAGAGGCAAGCTAACGTATTGTGTTTTCGTGTTGCTGTCCTGAGAGGTCGGACCTAGTAACACTCCTGTTTCACTTCCAGCACAAGTCTGAACTGAACGTCCACATTAATGGAAAGATATGCACAAGCAGTGGTACTCTGAGTTGTGTCAAGGGATTTAGGAAAGGATTTTTCCACATTTCAGCTCATAGTGGTCCAAAAAAACACCACAGAGACTCTTTATACACAGTTTGTGGACCACATGAGATATGAATGTGTGTGTGAGACAAACATTTCATCACTTCTATCTTTCAAAGTAGTCCATTTGTAAATGAAGCAGACCTCTCAGCACAGCAGTTGTCTTTAACTTATGTCTATGGAAGTTTGTCAGACAATGTTGCAGTTGTAAAATCAGTAGCTAATGGTAGATAGCAGGAGATTGGAAATGGCTGGAGTGACTGTTGGTTAACAAGGTCTTAACAGGGTGCCGTTCAGTCATTTTTTCATACTTGTTTTGTTTGATAACAGATAAAACCCTATGTAAATGAAAACAGCTTTAAATAGGCATTTGGCTGCAATAGAATGTAGAATATGTGAGCACATAATGCAGGAGAGAGGCAAACACATGCAACAACATGAGACAAACAAAATAAATAACTATCCATGCTACTGATATGGAACATTGTGTTGAGCTAGAAGTAATAAGATTGGTACTAAAACAAAATAGCATTCCCATCTTCTGCCATTGTTGTGTGCATCTCTATTCTGTGTAAATGATTAGGACACTAATAACAGCAAAGTGTAGTGGTTTGTTATTTGGCAATAAACTAAATTTCAGTAGCAGTCTACTAATTGTGCATTTATCAAATCCAAACCGGTTCTGAAGAAGGTGCAAATCTGGCCATCGGGAGCCATCTCTGCTCTTTAAGACTGTTTTGAGCACACTGACTGGCAAATGTTTAGGTAGGCTGCAACCAACAGCAACTCAGTCAACCTGGAGGAGTAGCCACATGAGTGACCGGCTACATCAGGAAGTGCACTGATGACGTCACTGTCTCCAAGACCATCACCACCACTGCAGAGGTGCGCTTGCTGCTGAAAAACAGAGTCTCTGCTTTCAGGGCAGGTGACAGCGAGGCTCTAAAAACAGCAAGAGCCAAACTGTCCCAAGTCGTCAGAGAAGCCAAGCATGCACATGGCCAGAAAATCCACGGCCACTTCAGGGACAGCGGCGACACCCAGTGCATGTAGCAGGGCATCCAGGCCGTCACAAACTACAGGACAAGATCCCCCACCTGTGACAACGACGCCTCCTTGCTGGATGTGTTGAACGACTTCTATGCTCGCTTTTGAAGCCCAGAATGAGGAGACGGTGAGGGAGACCACCCCTCCCCCCGATGACCAGGTGCTGTGTCTCACCATGGCAGACGTGAGGAAGACACTTCGCAGAGTCAACCCACGGAAAGCTGCTGGACCAGAAAACATTCCTGGTAAAGTGCTCAGGGAGGGTGCAGACCAGCTGGTGGATGTTCTCACAGACATCTTCAACACCTCCCTAAGCACCTCCATTGTTCCAAAGTGCTTCAAAGCCACCACCATCATCCCCGTGCCAAAGAAGTCGTCAGTGTCCTGCCTCAATGACTATCGCCCCGTTGCACTCACACCCGTCACAATGAAGTGTTTCGAGAGGCTCGTCTTGAGGCACATTAAGACCCTGCTGCCCCCCTAACTAGACCCTTTGCAGTTCGCATATCGTCCCAACCGCTCCACAGACGACGCCGTCTCCACCGCCCTCCACCTGGCCCTCACCCACCTGGACAACAAAGACACCCACGTCAGAATGCTGTTCATAGACTTCAGCTCAGCATTCAACACAATCATCCCCCAGCACCTGATGAGAAAGCTGAGCCTGCTGGGCCTGAACACCTCCCTCTGCAATTGGATCCTGGACTTCCTGACTGATAGACCCCCAGTCAGTCTGAATCGGGACCAGCACTTCCAACATCACCACACTGAGCACGGGGGCCCCCCAGGGCTGTGTGCTCAGTCCAACGCTGTTTACTCTGCTGACTCACGACTGTGCAGCAATGCACAGTTCAAATCACATCATAAAGTTTGCTGATGACGTGACTGTAGTGGGTCTCATCAGCAGGAATGACGAGTCAGCCTACAGAGAGGAGGTGCAGCAGCTAATGGACTGGTGCCGAGTCAACAACCTGTCTCTGAATGTGGACAAGACTAAAGAGATGGTTGTGGACTTCAGGAGTTAACAAAGGGAGCATGTTCCACTGACCATCAATGGCTCCACTGTGGAGACCATCCAGAGCACCAAATTCCTTGGTGTCCACCTGGCGGAGTCCCTCACTTGGTCCCTCCACACCAGCTCCATAGCAAAGAAAGCCCAGCAGCATCTCTTCTTCTTGCAGAGGCTGAGGAAAGCCCACCTCCCACCCCCCATACTGACAATATTCTACAGAGGGACTATTGAGAGCATCATGAGCAGCTACATCACTACCTGGTTTGGAAACTGCACTGTCTCAGACTGCAAGATCCTCCAGAGGGTGGTGAGAACAGCAGAAAAAATCATTTGAGTGTCTCTCCCCTCCATCAAGGACATTTACACCACACGCTGCACCCAAAAAGCCACCAGCATTGTGAAGGACCCCACACACCCTTCACACAAACTTTTTACACTCCTGCCGTCTAGCAGGAGGTTCAGAAGCATGCGAGCCCACACGGCCCGACTGTGCAACAGCTTCATCCCTCAAGCCATAAGACTGTTAAACATTCAAGGACTGGACTAACACACAAACAAAAACACACACACACACACACACACACACTACCTCCATTGTGTTGTACTGTCCGTGTTGTGTTGTAATGTTTTGTTTGCCATGTTTACATTGTACTTTTGCACTACCTTTTGATATTGCACTACTGTTTCCATATTTGTATTTATATTTTTTACTCTATCCTATTTTTACTTTTTTGTATTTTTTTTGTCTTATTTTACTTTTATGTATCATATCTGTTGCACTGCATTCTTTGCACTATCACCTTAGCTCTGGATCTGGGAAACACTGTCTCATCTCACTGTGTACTGTACAGCTGTATGTGGTTGAAATGACAATAAAGCTCTTTGAATCTTGAATCTAAATGACATTTATCTATCCTACATGATGGAACATGAACTGCTTTTAACAATTGTATTCTTAGTATTGCTATTAATTACCTTGACCCTGATATTAACCAACACCAAAATTTTTAACAGTATTTTCACACAAAGATGATGAAATAGTTTAAAATCCATGAGAAAGAGACTAAAATGTCTAGTTTTTGTTGACATGTATTACAGATGACAATAAAATTAAAGCAAATTAAATTAAGTATCTGGCTGTTTTTGTTCAAGCACAATCTTCCTGAATGATTATGTGGCACATGTGGAATAGGAAGTGTATTAGTTACATTTCATCAGAAGCAGTCTCTTGTGGCACACAGCGACACAAAAGAATATTTATATCCAAAACATCTGCCTTCCCTGAGCATCGTAGTGCCTTAAGCAGGACACATCAGCATCCCCTTTTAAGTTCAACCATTGGCACACTCATCTATCTCTATATCAGGCAGAAAGAGAAATGCAGTGTGTCTGTGCATGTGCCATAAGCTGGATGTGGGAGGGGGCAAAGCTATACGATTTAAAAATTGACCATGCGCATATAAATCAGATCTTTCAGGGGAGGATATTACCTGGTTGCTGGCTGCATTGGCTGTATACTTGGGAGGCTCTGAGGCTGCTGGTAGCACGTGGGTGGCAGTAGTGTAGGATGGAGGTGGAGTGTCTGAGGTAAACTGTACTGCAGGGTAAATGCAGGAAAGGTAGAGTGAGCACACACAATACAATACTAATGGTCAGTTAGACAGCCGAATGTTATAAAAAGAACTTGAGTTTAGCTGCCAAAGACACAACTCAGAAGAAAAGACCATTGTGGATTGACCATGGTCAGCTTGGATACAAGCAAGATCACAGCAACACAACTCTGCACAGCTATCTCCTGTAAGGCTGTAGTGCAAACACACATCATGGCCGCTTGTCTCTGCCTGCTGTGGCTGAAACCATGATTATCCTGTGCAGACACAGTAACCTACGGACATGTACTTGTTGTTAAGGCCAAATAATGATTTCTGCATGACTGACTAAACTTTAAAAGGTGACTAACACTACCAGTTATTCTATCAGCTATTTTACCAATTAGTGAATCTAAACTAGTTAAAGTAAAATCAGTGTAAATTTAAGTTTTTTTCATTTATTTTATTTTGACAAACTGCATGTCACTATATCATCATATGTCACTATATGCTGGATCGCACAGTATGAACTGGAACAAAAGTTTACATCTTAAATTGCAAACGAGGCTGTAAGCAATCCAACATGAAAAAAGGGTGAATTAATTAAGCCAGTGACACAACTCCAAGAAATCCTACATTTTTTTTGTTCCCTTAAACAAAGTGCAAAACTTGAGTCTATATTAAACAAAGTGCAACATGGACACAGCGGAAATGCATGTTATTCTTTAACATTCAGAAAAAAATGAGGTTATTGTATCTGGCCCTAAACACCTGCACTGTTGAACCAGATAGCTACTCTAGATGGCATTGCCTTGGTTCCTTCCCACTGTTGCCAACTACTTGCTCAGAGGGAATCCAAAGGCAACTTTGGATTGTTGGGTTCTCTGTTTAAATTGTAAGGTCTCCACCTTACGATGTTAAGCGCTGTGTGATGGCATATTTTGTAACCTGCGCTATACAAATAAAATTGACTTGACTTCTGTAATGCCTCAATTGGTACTTAACATCTTTAGTAATGACAGTCTGTATAGTGATCAAAATGTCTTGCTCTAAAACCAAATCGTGGATGGATGCACTAACAGACCTAGAAATGTTCAATCTTTGCAACAGCAAATTCTAAAAGGGCTAAAATCACAGATACTCATCTGGTGGAGATAAATCCACATGGCCAGGCAAAACATATACTAAATATTACTGTGGCCCTGAAATGATCTATTAAAAGAAAGAAGTGTTTTTTAAGCAAATCAGAGGAATAACAGTGTAGAGCTGAGGAGGAGGACATGGAGGTGTGTGACTGATTTCTACCCTGAGGAGGAGCTGCAGGACTGGCCTGGGCCTTTGGTCGAGTGGGGGGCTTGAGACCCGGTGGGAGGGGGATCCCACTAGGAAGTGTCTGTAAAAGAACCTAAGACAGGAGAGTCAATGAAACAGTATTTTTCTTCCATTAGGTAAATAAAGCATTGGATTGATCTTCTAGCAGAACACTTGCATATTTTGTTCAAATCTGTGTGTGTAATCTTGTAACTGTTCTAACTGAAGGCCTTAAAATGTAGCAGATTTTTTATTTCAAACATTTTATGTATTTCTCTTACACAACAGTTTCGTTGCCTCAGGTGAGGCAGGGATAAAGCTCGGCTCAGCATGAATCATAATTTTGAGGAGTTGGTGAAGTGCCCCCAATAAAACTGAAGCCCAGGCCACGATTTTCTTCTCAAAACTACCCTGGAATATATTAGGAAGTGTATCATAAAGGGTATTACTGTGTGATCTAATATTTTACATTCTGCTTTTTGCCACTGGACGTCTTGACATCTGCAGGTTCGAGCAGGGACACCGGCACGAGTCCTCTCTGAAAATAAAGAACAAAAAAGCAGATAGATACCGATTAGAAAAAAATAATAAAAAATCACACGGACGCCCAATATACTGCATTATTGGCAGCAGATGAAATGAAATGTTGATTAAATATTTTTTTTACAATTTGAAATAACAACCCACTGACACACCGTATCTTCCAACAGCTCCCTTCCCCAAAAAGCTACAGTTGTGCTGCTTCAGAACTAAAAATACATTCACTTTATTTATTGTTCTGATAACGACAAGATCCTGACTGCTGAACTAGATATGACACAGACAGTTGATGGCTTCACTGATGACAGACAATATGACCTGCTCTTAGCCAGAAACAGTGATAATCAGCAAAAAGTGAGAAGCTTCTCCCACAATATTTAGGACGTTGACCTTTGCTAGTGAGAGCATCAGGTCTGAAGGCTTTTTGATTCTACTTTATTTGACTCTCGTGCTCCTAAGCTATGTTCACCACGTCTCTGTCTGTTTGACATTTGGTGCTGTAGTGTAGGTAGTAATGTGTGGGTTTTTAGTGCCTTTCCTTGGAAAACAGCTGCCTGCTAGAGCTGAAATGATGCTGGAAAAGAGAACTAAAACAGTAAAGCTCTACCCAAAAACATAAGGTTGAGGGAAGCTGCAGACTGAGCTGATAATTCTTTGTAGCTTCACCACTACCACCTATCACAATGTTACGGGATCCATTCATATAATATACAATTAAAAAAAAAATCTTAATAAAATAATCACTCACTTCATGTTTTTAGATATACTACTTACATTTAAATGATTGAAATAGCATAAAATTAACATAAAAGGTGATTGATTCAGTTAAGCAATGACATGAAATAAAAACTATACAACTGGAAAGTTTTAGTTGTTTTTTTTGTTGTTGTTTTTTTTTTTTTTTTTACAGATTATTCCAATTTTTTTGTTTAGGGGAGGGGGGACCTCTAATCCATACTGAAGTCCTGCTCATCACATTTGCTATACAGTATGTTAGTATAGTGTAATGCTAGCGCACACTGGCTAACAATAAAATATTCATGTGATCTGTCTGTGACAGCACACTACAGCATTTGCAGTCTGAGACAACAATTCTTTTATTTAATTTTTTCATTTACTACTGTACATGCATTAAGATCAGTTTAAGAATTTAACAAAATAAACTGGGGGGCCTGGAGCCTATCCCAGCCAGCCCAGGTTGAAGGCAGGGGACACCCTGGACAGGCTGCCAGTCTATCACAGGGCTAATAATAATAACAATGATATATATATATATATATATATACACACACACAATCTGTAAACTAGTTTCAACTGTATATATATTCAAATTATTAAAATGGTTTCAACGTAAAATAAGTTATTTGTGGGGAGGAACTGTGGTGGCCAACGGGGGCAAACGACATGCATATATATGAATGCGCTGCATAAACAGAAACGCACTGCAAAAAGAAAACACTGCACATCCACTCTCACAACGGAAGTGCTCCACAATGGAAGTGCCCCAGGCCTCTGGGGGCACTAGTGAGCTTTTCACCTGAGAGGCAGACAATGGTGAGCGAGACAAGTAACATTAGTTGAGGTGAAAAGCCAACCCAGTCTCACAGCAATTTGTGAAATAGTCACAAAACTAAATATTATCATTATTATTGTTTTCCCAACTTTTTTGTGTTCCCCAACACGAATTGCAAACCAATACATTTCAATTGGAATTATCTTTCGTGTCTTGGACACATTTTTTCCCCATTAGACAGCGCATAGACTGATGTTTGTGCTGTTCTTTCCTTCCCACAGTCAGGCATGAACCAGTTTTACTGTTATGGCCCGTCCACACTACTGACTATAGAGATCACTATGCAGATAATACAGGAAAACACTGTACTGTGATCATAGCTAGTGTAAAGTGTAAAAGAGTACATCGTATTGTGGCATTTTTTGTGTTTTCATTACACCGGCAGTGTTTGGGGGAAATTTGTGCTCGTTGCTAAGGCAACCCTGTTAGCGTCTGGGCGCTGCCTCGTCGGACACTCAGAAGAGATCCGTCCTACATGGTCTGTAATGTTTTTGTGTGTACAGTATTATATTATTGTTTTGTTTCCCAGGACAACAATAATAATAATAACATTAAGTTTCGTGACTATTTCACAAATTGCCATGAGACTGGGTTGGCTTTTCCCTCAACTAACGTTACTTGTCTCGCTCACCGTTGTCTGCCTCTCAGGTGAAAAGCTCACTACTGCCCCTAGAGGCCTGGGGCACTTCTGTTGTTTGAGTGGATGTGCAGCGTTTTCTTTTTGCAGCACATTTCTGTGTTTGCAGCGCGTTTCTGTTTATGCAACGCATTCATGTATATGCAGCTGGTTTGTGAATATGCACGTCAAAAAAATCATCAGTAAATCTCCTGCTTCCCAGTTGTTATGGTTTGGAACCATACATTTACATTTTTGTTTCAGTCACACTGCTATCATCAAGCTCCTTTGCAGCAACAGACAGCTGAAATGTGCCCCACATTCAGACTTTGACTTAATTCTTTCCACTTTGCAAACATACATTATAGCATATTGTTTTATCTCAACACTTTACCCTTTACACTAACAGGAATGGATGCAATTCACACACGTCAGACTTCCACCATGCATTAGACTGTGTCTTTGACTGATAAGCTTCACAAAGAAAACAAAATTTGTCTCTCCAGATTTTTTTTCCTTTTTCTGGTTTTCCCAGATCTCTCTAGCATGTGTTTGCTGTAGTAACTCTTAACAGCACACCCAGAAATCAACTGTATTTAACCTGTATACTGTCTGGTGTCTGTGCATTCCATTTTGACATTTTACGATGAGACAACACAGTCGAACTTAGTTAGAATTAGCATGTAATGTGGAACATGCCCCCTGGTCACAGCAAAAGTTCAGATAAATAAATTGTTCACCACCTGATCAGCAGGTAAAGACTAGCTGGTGAACACTGGAGAATTTAGCAGCTAAACAGCCAGCTTTATTTTTCAGCAGTTGGTGGAGACCAAAAACAGAGCTAAAAGGGGAGGGAATTTTGGACTTGACTAAGTGGGCACAAACATAGCTGTGTATGAATAGTGATATTGCTGGATGTATTGCATGAAAGGCATGAAAGCATGTTTTTAGCTTGTTCTGCAGCTTTCAGACTTTCAATCTTGTAATTGTGTCCAAGGTGTTTTAAAGCTTGGGGCAGGGAAACGAGCATGTTTCTCAGGATATGCAAATGTATCAACACAACAGTGTGACCACTCGTGTACAAAATATACAGTCTATCTTTGGCTCAGTACAGATCTCTACCCACCTGTCCATCATATATGACTGCTGTCATCCCATCTCTGTCCTCCTCTCCAAATAGAAATACAGTGGCCCCTCCTGGAACAGTCAGTTGTCCTGGGGCCCGAGCCACGTAAGCAAGCCGCATGCGCATATATCGAGAATCCCTAACAGGTAGTGAAAAGACAAGATCACTCATACATTTACAAGCATTTTATTTACTAAAATGAGTTTTTCAGCATAACTATTACCCTCACAAAGTAATGTTAACAACTCACGTTACTATTTCTCACATGATTTTAGAAAACTTACTGAGCTCCATCCACCTTAGGTTCATAGAAACCAGGTTTCTGTGCAGAAGACAGGGTGACAGTCAGCAGCTGGAGTAACCAATAGCAATATGTTAACTCATACTAACACTACAGTGAGACTTACCTGCAGCCTCAAAGGTTCGAAACCTCCAAAATCATCATTGGGAATCATGGAGGAAATCACCTGCAATAGTAGAGCATCACAGACTAATGAACACTACAGGTGGCTTCATGTAGTTTATTTTCATGGAAAATAGATATTTTATTATTGCATTACAAAGACTAAAAGTGTTTTTTCTATAACATTTGGGTAAACACCGTTACAAATAGTGAAATGTGAGAAAAGTTGAAGGCCTAGTATTCATGTTAATTTATCCATTCATCCATCCATCCTTTTTTTGTACACAATTTCATTCTGTACAGGGTTACAGGGGCTGGAGCCTATCCAAGCTGACTTAGGGTAATAGGTAATTAGTCAGTTCATCACAGATCCATGTTAAATTAAGTTTTGAGCTATTTTTACATACCTCAACAGAGCCCTCCTACTCAATTCCCTAGCCTTATCCTAACATACCTCTATTGGCCTTTAAATCATATTACCATCCAACCAAACAGCCCATATTGTGGCAGTTTGACCCAATCCTGTCTATGTAATTTGTATCTGCTAAGGTCAACCTTTGTACATTAATTGGCCACAGTGGCCCAACACACAGTTGTATCTGAAGGCAACGGCTTTTTCATGTGGGCTTCTCCCATTCTTACATGTCAAGCTAGACTAGTTTTACCAGCTGTTACTAGTTAAGACTCAGTGGTCAGGAAAGTATTCTACCACCAAATAAAAAGATTTAGTTTTTCTTTAGTTGTTTTCTTTTGCTTTTTAGTACAGTGGTATCAAATCACTAAACTCAATATGACCCAAGACAGAATGATCCTGCTGTGCATTAGTAATATTTCTCTTTACTAATGACTTAATTTGATCAAACAAATCGTTCATAATTAAACATATGCTTCATTTAAAAAAAAACAATAATAATAAAGAACTGAAACTAGATTTTAGCTCAGAGCCCCTCAGTAACAGACGGCTTGAGAATTATATATATTTTATTAAATTCCTAAAAACTTTAAGCTTTAATACAGTTTTAATGGATGTGTTACATAAAAATTCACATGCAGTTGTCATGAATACCATTTTTTTTTTGTGCCAGACAGTAAATGTATGTTTATTTCTGTTGCAAAGTTGGATTTTTTAAAACTAGGTTCTGTGGGGATTAGTGTGCTTTAGAAGCCAGCCTCATGTGATCATTTAAAGAACTGTAGTTTGTCCATCACCAATTTTATCCACTGTATAACTGTTGTGATGACAAATAAAGTTGACGTCACAGTAGTTAGTGGTCCTATTATTCCTTATAAAGTGACACAAGTACATTGTATTCATTTGATACTGATACATTTTACACATCATCGAAACAACATAACATTCACAGTGGAGACACTCTACCTTTGGCTTCCCCAAGAAGTCTCTTTGCTTCAGCTGCTCCACATCCTGTTTCCTGGGACGAAACACCACATCCACAGGTACCAGGAGAGGAGCCAAGACCTCTTTATTCTGTTTTCAAAGTCACAATAAAGGATTCATTTAAATACTTATTTAGAACTATAAAATCCATTTTTATGCTGGAAAACCATTGTATTTGTATTTTAGCTCTGGGCTTTGCGAGAATCACTACAGCCATACCTTTTGTACAGATCTACAAAACATACTGTGATCTACAGTTGTGAACAAAAGAGTACATACACTTGTAAAGACCATGTATATCACAGCCGTCTAGAGTTTTCAATAACCAATACATATTGTAATTTTCTATGACAGCATCATTGAAACACGTGTCATTGTCATAAAGACAATCATGCATTTTGGCTGTTTCACAATTTATTTTAGTTGACAAAGATGCATTTGCTTAAATCATTCTTCACAAGTTTATGTAGATTTTCGTTCACAACTTAATAACATAGTCCGTGTTATGGTAGTAGTATCTAAACTGTCACAGATGCTCTTGATTTCCATTAATAATCTCTGCCTGTTTTTTTTTTTTTAGCTACAGCTGTGAGCAAAATCCTTCGACATACAGTACTGTACAAAAGTCTAAGGCAGATGTGAAGAAATTGCTGTAAAGTGGGAAAGCTTTAAAAAAAAAAAAAAAAAAACATGCAAAGTGAGTGAATAGAAAAAAAATCTAAATCAAATCAATATTTCGTGTTCCCACCCTTTGCCTTCCAAACAGCATCAATTCTTCTGGGTACACTTGTGCACAGTTTTTGAAGGAACTTGGCAGGTAGGTTGTTCCAAACATCTTGAGCAACTTATCACAGATCTGTTGTGAATGCAGGTTGCCTCAAGAGCCATGATGCAGATATATAGACAAAGCGCATAGGTCCAAAACTGAGACAGTTCAATGTTCACAGCTCATTTTATCACCATGTTGATGTAGCTGGGTTAATTGGAAATCAGAGGTGTTCCCAATGTTGTTTCACTGATCAGTTTTTCTAACTTGTGTGGCAGAGATTACAGTTGTATTATTTTTTTGCTGCATTGAGTTTCTACTTTAGGGTCTATGTTTTCAATCTAGTCTTTCGAAAGTAAAGGAAGAGAAAATACTCAGCTGTCAACTTAGAAATAATTAAATTATCAGGAGGTAATAGAATTTTGAGTCATCAGACATTTAGGTAATATTGGAAAGGGGTGTATTCACTTCTGCTGTGTACTCTAACAGGGTGTGCTGCCAGATCAGCAGAGCTGGTGCCTGTTTCACAAAAACAATTTGTGAGCACAAATAGTGGCAGAATCATGTTTTGCAAATGTTTTTTGCTCACACATTGCAGTATGGGTCACAAGTATGGCATGTGTTTGATCATCTGGCCTTAAACAGTGCGCATGTACATTGTACTTTGTGGGTGAATAAGAGAAAAGCTATAAAGCACTTAGTCTACAAACACATTCACACACGCTGATGATTGTGAGTTTTGGGCCTCCTTGTTGAAAGCAATTTAGGGTTCAGTGTTCAAGGACATATGCTCACCAGCCACTTTATTAGGTACACCTTGCTAGTACCGGGTTGGACCCCCTTTTGCCTTCAGAACTGCCTTAATCCTTCATGGCATAGATTCAACAAGGTACTGGAAACATTTCCCAGAGATTTTGCTCCATATTGACATGATAGCAACACGCAGTTGCTGCAGATTTGTCGGCTGCACATCCATGATGCGAATCTCCCGTTCCACCACATCCCAAAGGTTCTCTATTGGATTGAGATCTGGTGACTGTGGAGGCCATTGGAGTACAGTGAACTCATTGTCATGTTCAAGAAACCAGTCTGAGATGATTCACGCTTTATGACATGGTGTGTTGTCCTGCTGGAAGTAGCCATCAGAAGATGGGTACACTGTGGTCATAAAGGGATGGACATGGTCAGCAACAATACTCAGGTAGGCTGTGGCGTTGACACGATCCTCAATTGGTACTAAGGGGACCAAAGTGTGCCAAGAAAATATCTCCCACACCATTACACCAGCAGCAGCAGCCTGAACCGTTGATACAAGGCAGGATGGATCCATGCTTTCATGTTACTGACGCCAAATTCTGACCCTACCATCCGAATGTCGCAGCAGAAATCGAGACTCGTCAGACCAGGCAACATTTTTCCAATCTTCTACTGTCCAATTTTGGTGAGCCTGTGCAAATTGTAGCCTCAGTTTCCTGTTCTTAGCTGACAGGAGTGGCACCCGGTGTGGTCTTCTGCTGCTGTAGCCCATCCGCCTCAAGGTTCGACGTGTTGTGCGTTCAGAGATGGTATTCTGCATACCTCGGTTGTAACGAGTGGTTATTTGAGTTACTGTTGCCTTTCTATCAGCTCGAACCAGTCTGGCCATTCTCCTCTGACCTCTGGCATCAACAAGGCATTTGCGCCCACAGAACTGCCGCTCACTGGATATTTTCTCTTTTTCGGACCATTCTCTGTAAACCCTAGAGATGGTTGTGCGTGAAGATCCCAGTAGATCAGCAGTTTCTGAAATACTCAGACCAGCCCGTCTGGCACCAACAAGCATGCCACGTTCAAAGTCACTTAAATCACCTTTCTTCCCCATTCTGGTGCTCAGTTTGAATTGCAGCAGATTGTCTTGATCATGTCTACATGCCTAAATGCATTGAGTTGCTGCCATGTGATTAGCTGATTAGAAATTTGCGTTAACGAGCAGCTGGACAGGTGTACCTAATAAAGTGGCCGGTGAGTGTAGTCTCACATGTGAACAGAAGGAATCATGCCACCAACTGACGTGCTACCCACAGCTATGGCAGGATGGACTTTGGTTTAATGTTGCCTGCAGCAATGTCAGCTTCACAACCAACCATGATTTAACTTTGCTGTAATTTTTGGACTGTCCTATATTTATCTTTGATTTTCTTTGATTATCAGCTGACAGGGCTTTAGCATTATACTGTACTCAGTTTAATTGGATTTCCCCGTCCTTGCTTCTACATGATGTGCAACACATCAGCATAGCCAAATGGAACAAAGCCAATTACTCACTTATGTACAAGAAGTTAAAGCATTCCTATTGTTGTGCATATTTTTTTAAAAAGTGATGACAAACCAACTTTTTCTGACTTTGGAAAACCATCCTCATCTTTCTCTCTTTGTTAGAAGATTAAGTATGGCAATGGCAGAACAGTGCAAGGGCAAGTGACTTTGGAAATTTGTCACTTAAGCCTGCTTTATGTCCTTTCTAGTCCCATGTCTGAAGAGGGCTTAATAAGTTGGAAGTTGGGATACTCACCGCAATGCTGTCCAAAGCTGCCTCTATGTTTGTCCCTCGTCCTCCCTTCTCCTGGGAGGCTGACAGCAGGACGTCCCTAGCCTGTTCCCACTGGCCCATCCGACAGTACACAGCTGCTGCATTATATAACACCTAGGGGATATATTGCAAGTACACATTTCAGTACCATCCCATTATTTTTCATGTTCTCTTTAGTGTTGTGAAAGCCTCCTCATGTGGATTTTATACCATCAGTTCCCACAGTAAACTATAATAGGTTTACGAGGCAATACCAGTTCTTCAGTCATTACTTAGCCACGATTTCTTCCTTTCCAAACTTATTTTCTGGTTTCAGAAAAGCAACATTCTTATTCTAGTCCACCCAACAATTCTGAAAAAGAAAAACAATACAAAAAGTCCTAAACTGCAAGTTGAAAGGATATATATATATATATATACATGAACCCTTGAAAGTCTTAAACTGTACGCTGCAGTTTAAACATGGGAGTTCTCAGTGTAGGGTTTTAGTGTGGTAGAAAATAAGAT